ATAAGAATGTACACATGCTATCTAGGCCTCCTATATTTCATGCATAGAATATTAGATGCTTAGTACAAGTATATTAAATCAATATTATCAAATAGTATCAGTATCCAGATTGATAAAAATAATAATCTAGTGGTAGAAGTAGTAGAAAAATACAATAAGAGTAAATCCATGAAATAATTATAAATTCGTATAATAAATTTGAAAATGCTTCAATAATATGTATTTCGCTAGACACACCAAATAAGTAAGAAGTCTTGGTTATCATAATGTTTTTTAATGTTAGTATAAGTATTAATAAATAATTATCTCGATAAATATAGTCGTCACTCTTTGTCCACTGGCATAGTAATAATCTCCTTATAACTCCTAACTAGTGTATCACGTAAATTAATAGATGATAATACCAAACCACTTTATTTAAAGGAAAGCTCATCGGCACACCATCCTATACAAGTAGCTCAGTCTCCAACCAATGGGTCAACTTATCTGTTTCACAACACGTGTATTATTATCATAATATTATAGTAGTAATAGCAATCAGCTATTACTCAAGCACATATTCACATTCATTTATAAAAAAATAAACTATAATTAAGCATAATTTAGAAAATGCTAATGTATTAACTTTAGACAACAAAAATTATAATGAACAAAAATTAACATTTTTAGAATTTGATAAAATTACCAAATATTGCCTAAAATAACATTATAAAGCTTTAGTTGAACTAAATCACTATTTTTAGATGTCAAAATAATTTTTTGATTACACAAAATTTGTTATATTTTTAAAATCACATAGTAAAAAATCTTAAATAAATACTCAAAATTTTTTATAATCTCGATCTATATAACATACAAAAAGTTACGCGGTGAAAATCTTGTCAATACAAAGTTATTCAATTTTTCTGATAATGGAAAAACAAATTTGATCAAAAGAATATCCAGAATAAAAAATTTTTAAAATAATAAATACGATAAGTGTTTCTTGCAGTGAGATGAGAAATTTTCTTTACAGAGTCGACGGACGAAAATCAATGTGGCCTCCAAATCCTATGTTTTATTTTCTCTTTCTTCAATTTCTCTTTTAAAATTCACATTCCACTGTGTTAGCTGAAATTACTTAAGGGGAAATGGATTTAATTAGCTATGATAGTGCATTAATATATTTTATAATAAAATAATATATAATATTAATTTAATCATTTAATTTATTAAATTTTAAATATAAAATTAATTTAATCATTTTGGGCTTTAAAATTATTTAAAAATGTGTATAAAATAAATCATTTTATTCAAAAAATAGTAGTAAAATCAATTTGCAAAATGGATACCTAACCATCTCAAAATCCTCACTTGTATCGATAAGTGCAAAAATTTACAAACAATTCATGTAAATATAATATTACAATCAAAATATTATCACTACAGGAAAAACGTCATTTTCCGGTGGCCATTTTCGTCAGAAAATGACCAAAAATCCGTCAGAAAAATTGTATTTCCGGCGAAAATATTTTCGCCGGTTTCACGCGACTCGTAAAAGGACTTCCAGCGCAAAATAATGCGCCGGGAATATTTCCGGTGCATTTCCGACAAAATTTTCGCTGGAAAAATATTTCCGTCAAAATTTTTATGCGTCGGAAATTTTATGAAAAAAAAAATTATCATTTACACACAACAGCTGCTCCTCAATTCCCGCTCCACCAGCCCGCCAGCATGCGCAACCCGACCCTACCGACCTGACCGACTGAAAGCAGGTCCAACCCGCCGCGACCAGCCTCCCCGCGTGGATTGCCTAGGGCTCAGTGGGATTCGAACCCCGCCCCCCTCTACAATACTTCAAGGCTTCTACCAACTACTCATAAAACCAAAATCTGTTAAGTAAGTTACTTTTTTTTTATTTAACCAATTGCCTCTTAATTATTAAAATTTGTTAATTGAATTTAACAAAAAAAATAAAAATTAATTAACTTAAAATAGAAAATATTTAATTTTAAAATAATTAACTTAATTAATTAACTTAAAATTGTTACCGGCTTAAATAAAAAATATTAACTTAATTAATTCAATAATTCAATAATTAACTTAAAATTAAAAATTTAAAATTTAAAAATTTAAAAATAAAAATTAAAAAGTAAAAATTTAAATTAAAAATTCAATAAGTCTATTCCTTTGAATTTCAAATATAATAGAAGAAACACATTTTCATTAAGTTTTACTTATATAAAATTAACTAAAATAAGATAATTTCATTGAAATTCAAATATAATAAATAGTATATAACTTATACTTATCAACCGTAAACTTTATTTTGACCTAAAATGATTCATTTAAATTATTCTTTTAAAATTTTTTATTAGTTAATTTATAATTTATTATTAAAATTTTATAAAGAAAATTTTTAATCAAAATGGGTTATTGAGTCAGGTTTGGATCATTCAGGTTGCTAGTGGGTCTATTTCATGACTGTATTTTTGACAAGCATATTAAAAGGGTTAGTTTTTGGTTGAACATATTCAGGTCAGGTCAATTTGAGTGAGACATGGCTAAAATTCCATCCACATTCATATCCAATCATTTATAAATACTTTTGTTCCAAGTGAGCTCTGGAATTATATTTGGTTCCTTAAGCCTCCTTATAGTAAGAGAAAGTGAGTGCGATCAATTCCTACTCTACCTATACACTATGAATGTGAGTTTGAGTGAGCTTTGATGAGGTTTGATAGGTGAAAACTCAACTTCTCATCCATCCCATTCCAGTTCTCGAGCTTTAAAGGAGAATCATATTTTGGATCAATGTGAACTCATCCCAATTAAGATCCCTCTCCAATTTACACTGCATAAAGGTATGGTTCAAATTAGAGCTAGTTTTTTTAGGGGTTCAGGAAATCAGGAAGAAAACTTCCAATCCATAGAAATTTGATACTTGGATTAGTAATTTTCCTCGCATAGATCCTAATAGATCATTTTGAAAGGAATCCGCCTAGTGGAATTCATGAATTATACCTATTCTTATGGATGACTATTATTTGCACTAAAGGTTAAAGATAAAATTATAACTATTCATTCCATCCATATTCATATGGATGGTGTTGATTCAATCGGATTAAAAACCCTACTCCTCTCTATGGCTTCAAGGAGTATAATGGTGACAATTAAATCTTAGATTGATTTTTTTTTTTTAATATTAGATTGAATTGTGATGATTAACCCTAAACATGGACTAAGAACTTATTGCTATTTAAGAAGCCATTCCCTATCCATAATGTGTAATGTGGTGCACACCATTACATCTCTGGGTGCAGTCATCTGCATTCAAATAATTATCCTTTTATTATGAATTTTACTGCTTTATGTGTCTGCTTAGGCGTTAGTGGGCATGTGCTCCACTTTGCTCGTTTCTTTAGTTAGTTATTTTACTTTTTCAGCACTTTCCACGTGTAGGGCTTATAATAGCAAAGCCAAGAAGGTAGAAGTAGCATGGTTACCGGGAAGAAGGATCATTAAGAAGAATATCATAGAAAGTTTACTGTTCCATTGCCTCTTGCATTGCATATTTTCCTCTGTTTTCAATCTCTTGCAGGTATCCGGTGATCGACGGAGCAGCTTCGACATCATAGTGGTATCAGAGCAAGGATGGCAGAAGGGAGTAATCGGGTGGCTACCGATGACGAAAACAGCCTGAAAGATCTGTGGACCGAACACCGCCAATTGGCGAGACGAACGGAAGAAATGGCAGGGGATATGCACCGTTTCTTCGGGGAGATGCGCCACGAGTTAAGGTTGATTAATGCTCGTCTTTACAGGAATCACGCCGCTCGAACAGCAGGTCCGGTTAGGGGACAAGCAGTGAGGCGTGGGTTCGTGGGAGATGGGGAACGTCAACGAAACGATCTGGCGCCGGAGATGACCGATTCAGATGAGGAATTTGAACGCGGTCGGTTGGTGGAACAATCTGATTCAGAAGACGAACTGATCCCGAATCGTAGGAGGTATGCCGGAAGAGACAGAACGCAGGGAGAATTTAGAATCAAATTGGACATACCATTTTTTCGATGGAAGGTTGCATATCGAGGACTACCTCGATTGGGAGAGATCTGTTGAATCTTTTTTGAGTATATGGATATTAACCCGGAACGGCAAGTAAAATACGTTGCCTACAGATTGAAGGGGGGCGCCAGCGCTTGGTGGCAGCAAGTGCTTCAATCCCGACGGCGAGATGGCAAGGGAGCAGTTCGGAGCTGGTTTCGAATGAAATAGTTACACCGGGGACACTTTTACCAACCGATTACGAACAGATGTTGTACGTACAGTATCAACATTGATAGCAGGGGAACAAGACGGTGAACGAGTATACCGAAGAATTTTATCGGTTAAGTGCCCGGAACAATCTCAACGAATCTGAAAACCAGTTGGTGGCAAGGTATGTTAGTGGGTTGAAGGAACCAATTCAAGACAAATTAGAGCTCAACTCAGTTTGGTCATTGTCCCAAGCTGTAAATTTTGTTCTTAAAGTTGAGTTACAGTCAAAGAGACACTATCTCAACAGGCAGAGCAGGAGAAATTGGGAACCAGCCGCAGAAGGAAATAAGAATTCTGCTACTTCACAATCAGTTAGTTTTACAAAGCCAACTACAGTATCTACGGCTACTGGGCCACCTCCGACACCGAGGCTAAAGGAATTGGAACCAAGAGGTATTCTAAAAGGCAAAAATCCAGTGAAGGAAAATCCGTACGCTAAGCCAGCTACATTCAAATGTTTCCATTGTTTTCAGCCGGGTCACAAGTCCAATGAGTGCCCCACACGGGCACAACTTTAATTACTAGAAGGGGAAGACGAAGAAGGAGAAGAAGATGATTTTGAAACCGTAGAAGAACGGCCCGAAGATGTGGTTGGTGATGAGGGAGAACCTATTCTGTGTGTGCTGCAGCGCTTACTTCTGGCACCTTGGTGACCCGCCAAGACTCAAAGGAATGCTTTATTCAAAACAAAATGCACTATTATGGGCAAAGTTTGTGAAGTACTAATTGATACTGGGTGCACGGAAAATGTCATTTCTCGTGCAGTTGTACAATCGTTGCAGCTGAAGACATCTAAAAGTCCTAACCCATATAAAATTAGTTGGGTTAAAAAAGGAATTGATATGGTGGTAACAGACATGTGGAAGGTAAATTTCTCCATAGGCAAACACTATGCAAGCGAAGTTCTTTGCGATGTGGTGGATATGGATGTATGTCACTTAATTTTGGGAAGGCCATGGAAATACAATGTGGGCGCAATTTTTGATGGTAGAGCAAATACGTATTCCTTTGATTGGAAAGGTAGACGTTTAAGACTTCTTCCCCGAAGTCCTGAACTGGATGTCAAAAATGACAATTCTAAGATGTCTCTGGTAGCTGTCTCAGGAAAGGCCTTGATTAATGCATGGAAGGAGGCATCACAGTTGTTGTCTTTGGTTGTCAAAGAACAGAACAGTGACACAAGTGACACAGAGGAGAATTCAATCCCTGAGGAAGTCCGATCTTTACTTGAGCAATTTTCTGAAATTGCTCCACCAGAGCTGCCCAGTGGACTGCCACCTATGAGAAACATTCAGCATCAGATAGACCTAATCCCTGGAGCAAATCTGCCAAATTTGCCTCACTACAAAATGAGTCCGAATGAACATAGGATACTGCAGTAGATAGTGGATGAAATGCTAGATAAGCAACTGATTCAGCTAAGTCTTAGCCCATGTGCAGTGCCTGTATTGTTGGTGCCTAAGAAGGATGGTAGTTGGAGGATGTGTATGGATAGTCGATCCATAAACAAAATTACAACTAAATTTTGGTTCCCAATGCCGAGATTGGAAGATATGATCGACAAGTTGTCGGGAGCTCAAATATTTTCTAAGCTTGATCTTCGGAGCGGATACCACCAGATTCGAATTCGTCTGGGTGACGAGTGGAAAACCGCATTTAAGACGCGACAAGGCTTGTACGAGTGGAAGGTAATGCCGTTTGGTTTGTGCAACGCGCCTGCCACATTCATGCGTCTAATGAACGACGTATTGAGGCCAGTTTTAAATTGCTGCTGTGTGGTGTACTTCGACGACATACTAGTATTCAGTTCATCGGTGGAGGAACATATCAAACACTTAACTGCTGTCTTTGAAATTCTGAAGCAGAACAAGTTATATTTAAATCTTATCAAATGTGAGTTTGCTTTTTCACAAGTATCCTTTTTAGGATTTCTCATTTCAGCTGAAGGAATTATGGTGGATCCCCGCAAGGTGACTGCTATCGTGGAATGGCCAACACCGCGTACTCTAGATGACATTCACAGTTTTCATGGACTGGCAAACTTTTACCGCCATTTTATTCACGGGTTCAGTGTTGTGATGGCGCCGATCACAGACGTCTTGAAGCAATCCCAGTTCTCGTGGTCTGAAGAGCAACAGAGGAGCTTTAACGCTATTAAATCAGCGTTATCCACTGCCCCAGTATTGGCACTGCCGGACAAGCCTTTCATGGTCGACACTGATGCTTCGATAGTGGGCATTGGCGCGGTTTTGTCCCAAAACAACAAACCGGTGGAATTTTTTAGTGAAAAACTAAGTCCGTCTCATCAACGATGGACAGTTTACGAGCAGGAATTATATGCTATGGTCCGCGCGTTGAAGCAGTGGGAACACTATTTGTTGCATCAAGACTTCGTTTTGAGCAGCGATCATAAAGCACTTCAGTACATAAATTCTCAAAAAAACATCAACATAATGCACGCTCGATGGATCATATTTTTGCAGAAATTTACTTTTGTGTTGAAGCACAAAAACGGTACTCAAAACCATATGGTCGATGCATTGAGCCGAAGGTTGGCTACGTTAACTAAATTGGAAACAGAATTTACTGGTTTATCGGGGCTGCAAGAGTTATATCCTAGTGATGAGTTTTTCCAACAATGGTGGAATAAGTGCATAAGCCAAGAACCTGTGCCTGACTACTCCATACAGCACGGATTCCTTTTTAAAGATAATTTGCTGTGTGTTCCGCAGTCCTCTTGGCGGCAAAGGTTGATCCAGGAAGCGCACGCGGGAGGAATGTCCGCACATATCGGACGGGATAATACTATTGCCCAGCTTCAACGGCGATTTTTTTGGCCTCACCTAAGAAGAGATGTAACTAAATTCATACAGCGTTGTGCGATTTGTCAAGGTTATAAAGGCGGCGGACAAAACACTGGATTGTATTTACCCCTACCGGTTCCGGAGACGATTTGGGAAGATTTAAGCCTGGATTTCATCTTGGGTCTTCCAAGAACCAAGCGCGGCAATGATTCCATCATGGTTGTAGTGGATCGCTTCTCCAAAATGGCCCATTTCGTCGCCTGCAAGAAGACGTTTGATGCCCTCAATATTGCCAAATTATTCTTCAAGGAGATTGTGCGCCTCCATGGCATTCCGCGGAGCCTTACGTCGGACAGGGATGTGAAGTTTATTAGTCATTTTTGGCGGGAATTGTGGAAGAAATTGAATACAAAAATTCAGCTAAGTTCTTCATATCACCCTCAAACCGACGGACAAACTGAAGTAGTCAATCGCACACTCGGCAATTTACTTCGCTGTTTAGTACAAGAACACCCAACTCTTTGGGATGAAGTTTTAGCCCACGCTGAGTTTGCCTTTAATTCAATGACAAACCGATCAACCGGTATGTGTCCTTTCAATATCGTATATACTAAGATGCCCAACACTGTTCTTGACATTGCAGTATTACCGAAGATCAACAACAAAGCTGGAAATGCTTTGGCGGACCAATTTACTCAACTATTGGCTGATGTCAAAAAAAATCTTTAAGAGACCAATCAAGAGTATAAAGCAGCTGCAGATTCTCACCGAAGGGAGAAATTATTTCAGCCAGGAGATTTAGTTCTTGTTCGCTTGCGTCGCGAGCGTCTACCTCCAGGAAATCACTCTAAGCTTACCAAAAAAAATGGGGTCCTTTTCCTATCAGTAGAAAAATCAACGACAATGCCTATGTCGTAGATTTACCAAGTGAATTCAGCACCTCGCACACGTTCAATGTTGCGGATATTTACTCTTACACTCCCACTGATGACGGAAATGCAGACTTCGAATCTGTTAACACAGATTCTATTGAAAGTGGGGGCGAATGATGCGGTGCACACCATTACATATCTGGGTGCATTCATTAGCATTCAGATAATTATCCTTTTATTATGAATTTTACTGCTTTATGTGTCTGCTTAAGTGTTAGTGGGCATGTGCTCCACTTTGCTCGTTTCTTTAGTTAGTTATTTTACTTTTTCAGCACTTTCCACGTGTAGGGCTGATAATAGCAAAGCCAAGAAGGTAGAAGTAGCCTGGTTACCAGGAAGAAGGATCATTAAGAAGAATATCATAGAAAATTTATTGTTCCATTGCCTCTTGCATTGCATATTTTCCTCTGTTTTCAATCTCTTGCAGGTATCCGGTGATCGACGGAGCAGCTTCGGCATCAATGTTGAAATCATGTACTCGGTTAGCATGTCGACTATATGATTAGTTTAATTCGTGAATTATAATATATTTCAAGGCATAGAACTTAAGAAAATCTTAACAAATGGTTGAGCATACAAAATAATACGATTATGGGCTCAATGGATTCATATTTGAATACACTGTTTAATGAAGCCATTTTTTGCACATAATGATTCATAGATTTCAGCAAATAGTTTAATTACTAAATTCTAATAATTACATAAAAATTATCTAAACTCATTTTATAAGCCTTAAATTTGTCTTGGGGACTCTTGGGGATGTGATTAGCTTCCTCAATTTTATTAAGGGTTTGAGAAACCCTTTGTCCTCCATGGAATTTTCAAAGGCTTGGGTCAATTTTTGGCCTAAAATCTTAAAAATTCATAACTATATTGTTGATATCAATCTTCACATGTATGCCGTCAATCATATTAAATCTACTAGATTGAGCCCTATCAAACCTAACTTGAGTCAAATTGGCATAGATTTGGCTTTAATTCCATCCAATTCATGAAAGCGAACCAAATTAAACCCAAATTGACTCAAATTAATCAAGTTTGATTCATACTCAATTTATGTCCAATCAACTTGATCGAATCAAGATTAAATTAAATAACACTAATCTGAACTCAATTTTGTCAAATCGGCATGATTGGACCAAATTGAGCTTGCAACTCGAATCAACTCAAAATTGAGTACAATTCAGACTCAATTTGAACCAGATCAACTTAATTAATTTATATGACTTTCCAAATGACTCAAATTTGTCTCCAAATCAAAGAGCCCGATTATCTGGCCAAAATTTGATAAAATTCCCGTGCCTACCATTATCCCCAAGCCTTATCACATAACACCCCAAAATGGTTTAGGCTTAGACGACATTAGGGATGAAAATTCGTTGAGTCGAGCTCAAGTTAGGGGAATTTAAGCTTTACTCACGAGTAAAATATCAAGCTTGAACACGAGTTTGAACTCGAGTCGAGCTCAAAAGTGGAGCTCAAGCTTCACTCACGACACTATATCGATCTCATCGAGCTTCTTGAACCCGCTTGCGCAGTTTCCCACCCAAATTTTTTTCCCACTCAATTTTCACATTGGTGGAGAGCCAATGGGGAACTCGAGCAAAGAAGGATGTCGCTTTTGCAATGGCAAATGGTGAGAGCTCAAGTGCCTACAACATTTATTAGCATGTCACATCTTTTAAAGTATATATATATATATATATATAACCATACATATAAATATATATATTTTAAATTAAAATAATTAATTTTTAAAAAATTTAAACACTAGTCCAACCTGGCTCGTGAACTCACGAGCCGAGCCTCATCAAATTCAAACTCAACTTGTGAGCTCAATAACCTTGACTCACGAGCCCATAAAGGATTCAAGCTGGAGCCTTACACCCCTAGATGGAATTGACGAGAGTGAGAGCTGTAGAGTTGTTTTACTGGAGGATTTAAAATCGGTACACTATAGTATCTCTTCCAGTATTCTTTTATCTAGGGCCAGCCATATCCCGATCCCATGTTTCTTTAATGAATCCACCAGATCCTATCTGATTCCCCGCTTTCCACTTGATCTCTCTAGTTCAAGCTACCATAAACTCGCTCCAGCTCTCTCAAATTCTCCCATTCCCATGTTTTCACTCCGCGAGCCCCCTCCTCCTCATTTCTCTGGTTGGAATGAGCAGGCCACCGTATGAGGATCCCCTGATTTGACCTCCAGCCTCTAAGCCGGCCTTCGGCCTCACATCACTGAGCCATCTCTCACTTTCCGTCTCTCCGTTTTCTTCGTCTTCATTTCCTCTACCCCTCCTTCATACTCTCTTATATTTTTATTCTTCTCTTTTTTTCCTCCTTTTTTTTCCCTTTTTGAATTATGTTCTTTTTGGATTTTTTATGCTACATAATGTGTAATGTAGTAGGCTAATATTCTCTGATTATCTATTTGATGGATTCCACTATCATTTAATCCTTTCCATATGGTTTTGTATTGAGCATCATATACTTTGAAGTTCCATATGCTTATATTAAGATTAATGTCATACATAACATGAAGAACCAGGTTGATGATAGATGTCAACCATTACTATACCTGATTGGAAAACTTAGAGACAACTTGGAGCTTCAAAATAATAGTAATTGCTACTATGTTAAGTATTT